GGACACCCCAAACCCCGCGGGTGACGCTGTCCTTGCAGGTGGTCACTGCCCATGGCCATGTCCATCACACACCGCGGCACCGGTGTCGCCCTGAGCCTCGGTGAGTGACACTGGGGACACTGGGGACAGCCTGGGGACACTGGGGACAGCCTGGGGACACTGCTGGGGACATTGGGGACACTGCTGGGGACACTGGGGATGTTGGGGACATCAGGGGACGCCTGTTTTCCATCCCCATTTTCCAGCTGTACTCTCATTTTCCATGGCTGCTGTATCCCACTTTCCCATTTGGCTGTTTCCCGGCTGTTTCCCGGCTGTATCCCGGTTGTTTTCCAGCTGTATCCCGGTTTCCCATGGTTGTTGTTTTCCAGCTGTATCCCAGTTCCCATCCCTGTTTTCCAGCTGTATCCCGGTTGTTTCCCAGCTGTATCCCGGTTTCCCATGGTTGTTGTTTTCCAGGTGTATCCCAGTTCCCATCCCTGTTTTCCAGCTGTATCCCGGTTGTTTCCCAGCTGTATCCCGGTTTTCCATCCCGTTGTTTTCCAGCTGTATCCCGGTTGTTTCCCAGCTGTATCCCACTTTCCCATGGTTGTTGTTTTCCAGCTGTCTCCGTGTTTTCCCTGGCTGTTTCCCAGCTGTATCCCGGTTGTTTCCCAGCTGTATCCCAGTTTCCATCCCGTTGTTTCCCAGCTGTATCCCGGTTTCCCATGGTTGTTGTTTTCCAGGTGTCTCCGTGTTTTCCCTGGCTGTTTTCCAGCTGTATCCCAGTTTCCCATGGTTGTTGTTTTCCAGGTGTCTCCATGTTTTCCCTGGCTGTTTTCCAGCTGTTTTCCTGTTGTTTCCCAGCTGTATCCCGGTTTTCCATCCCGTTGTTTTCCAGGTGTCTCCGTGTTTTCCCTGGCTGTTTCCCAGCTGTATCCCAGTTCCCATCCCGTTGTTTCCCAGCTGTATCCCGGTTGTTTCCCGGCTGTATCCCGGTTTTCCATCCCGTTGTTTCCCAGCTGTATCCCGGCTGTTTTCCAGCTGTATCCCGGTTTCCCATGGTTGTTGTTTTCCAGGTGTCTCCGTGTTTTCCCTGGCTGTTTTCCAGCTGTATCCCGGTTGTTTCCCGGCTGTATCCCGGTTTCCCATGGTTGTTGTTTTCCAGCTGTCTCCGTGTTTTCCCTGGCTGTTTCCCAGCTGTATCCCGGTTGTTTCCCAGCTGTATCCCAGTTTCCATCCCGTTGTTTCCCAGCTGTATCCCGGTTTCCCATGGTTGTTGTTTTCCAGGTGTCTCCGTGTTTTCCCTGGCTGTTTTCCAGCTGTATCCCGGTTTCCCATGGTTGTTGTTTTCCAGGTGTCTCCGTGTTTTCCCTGGCCGCTCTCCTGCTCCCGGAGCACTTCCCGCATTACCTGGCGCAGGTGCGGGCGCTGAGCCTCGGCCCCTCCCTCCTCTTCTCCGCCAAATTCCTGCTGGTCCTTCCCGTCTGCTACCACACCTGGAACGGGATCCGGCACCTGGTGAGCCGGGAATCCGGGAATTCCGGGAATTCCGCGCCTGGAATGCGCCCGGGAGCCGCGCTGGGGGGTGGCACAGGGAGCCCTCGGGGGTTTTTTTTGGGATCCGGGTGTTGTTTCCCGGTGTTCCAAGGGGTTGTTTCCCGGTGTTCCCGGTGTGGAGCTGCCGGGATCCGTGGGATTGCCAGGGAGGGATCGTGGCCGGAGGTTTGGGGGGGAATGAGGGGGTTTTAGAGCCCCTCCATGGGGGGGTTGGGAATTGGGGAGGGGGAATGGGAATGGGGATGGGAATGGGATGGGAATGGGATGGGAATGGGATGGGAATGGGAATGGGAATGGGGATGGGGATGGGAATAGGGAGTGGGAATGGGAGAGTGGGAATGGGAGAGTGGGAATGGGAATGGGAATGGGAATGGGAATGGGGATGGGGAATGGGAATGGGAATGGGAATGGGAATAGGGAGTGGGAATGGGAGAGTGGGAATGGGAATGGGAATGAATAGGGAGAGTGGGAATGGGGGATGGGAATGGGAATGGGAGTGGGAGAGTGGGAATGGGAATAAGGAATGGGAATGGGAATAGGGAGAGTGGGAATGGGGAATGAGGAATGGGGAATGGGAGTGGGAGAGTGGGAATGGGAATAAGGAATGGGAATGGGAATAGGGAGAGTGGGAATGGGGAATGAGGAATGGGAATGGGAATGGGGAGTGGGAATGGGAGGGGGAGTGGGAATGGGAGTGGGAAATGGGAGTGGGAATGGGAAATGGGAATGGGGAACGGGAATGGGGAGTGGGAAATGGGAGTGGGAGAGTGGATGGGAATGGGGAATGGGAATGGGAGCAGGCAGGGGA